AACCCCTACACCTTCCCCTTTCGTAGGGGAAGGGGGGGGGTCCCAACAACGCTCTACGCTAAGTTTTGCACTTTTGAGAGCTGGCTACGTATTACGCTGAATTCAGAAAATCTCTCGATTACGCTTTAGGTTAAATTCCAAGTGGCTACAACGCATTACGTAGAATTGAAACGGCGAATACGGTCTACGCAAAATGCGCCAATTACGCTCTATAAGCGGTCCGTTTACGCTCTACGTAGACTTAAAACGGCCGATTACGCTCTACGGAAAAGGACATGAGGGCCCCTTTCTCTGACTGAGTTTGTTGCGAGCCGTCCCTAGCTGTCGATCGGAAACGATCAACCCTCACGGCTGGTTCTGATGTTATTTTGAGAGGCCGACTCGACAGGGTACCCGCACCGGTAATGCCGCGGCACTCATCGGGACCGCGTGAAGGACAAGGTCAGCGTTCTGAAGGTCAGTCCGGCGCATCCCGTACCTAATGGCCCTGCTACAGGTACCGTGCTGTTTGTGTGGGAGTAGAGTTACACAGGGCGATCGTTCTCTGTCTGAAAACAGTTGGGCCACACTAGCTTCCACCAGGCCTTTCTACGGGAATACGGATCGTAGAATTCGCCCCAAAAAAGAGAGTAAAATTGACCAAGGGAGTCCGGCCGCGGGGAGGTAGTTTTTTTTCCCAGCGCGGCCAGTCAAACCTACAAGGCGGCCAAACTCCCCTGGCGAATATTCTCCTATACAATGTATATAGCCAGCGTAGTTAGTTATAGTCTGGTAGAGACTATGGGGCCACTCCAACATAGAATCATTTCTCTAAGTCTAAGGTAGCAGAAGTTTCAATGAGTGAATATGGCAAGATCCACACTTCTTCCCAGTCCTCTGTTTTCATCTCGGCCTCTTGAATTTGATGAATCTTTACTCTACATTTACGAAAACTTTTTGAAAATGTAGAATAAAGATCGATGTGTCCTTGAGGTGTGCCCTTGAGTTTGTATAGTGTAGGGAAAATAAGATACAATCTAAGGCCACAGCAAGTAAATTTTATGGATGACATCCTCCGCAGACTCCAAATCTAATGCGCGAGCGGGCGAAAATAAAACAAGGCGGGCCGGAAAAAACAAGATTGCTACATTTTAAAATTTTGACTCAATCATTGTACAAATGGTTTTGATTCAGTGGGAACATCACATATACACAGCCATCATCACATATCACTGCATCAAAGTAAGAAACAAAACATTAAATCAGAGCCTTTTCTTGTCTCCTCTCTTTTTAGTTATCTGCCATCCACGTTCCGGCATGGCAACAGACATCCTTGCCTATTTTTTGGCATGGTGACCACTGTCAAAAGGCAATAAAATTTCTTGTTTTTTTTTTCAAAATCAGGCGAAAATCAATGCGCGCGTTGATGTCATCCATACAAATTACTTGCTGTGGCCTAACACAGCTCCTAGTAGGTAGTTACAGCTACATGTACATGCTAGTATGAGTCTTGGGTGGTTGGTGCCATAGCACTAGTAATTACCAGCCATCTCTCACCACCGGCCTATAGGTCTGTAGTTGTGAGACTAAAGGGACTCAGGTAGCCTTCCCCCGGGGACACAGTCTGAAACAAAGCCGGGCTGTTCCGTCAGCACACACCGGCAAGGCTGCTGGGTCGTAACGGTCATGTTCCAGGCCGCATTGTCCTGGCTACTATACTCAGCCTTTCTTTACTGGTTTGAGATGGAATCGAAAGTGATTTTTTTATATGCCAACATGTAATCAAAAGACGTGGTGGCGGCACACTCATGTTTTTTTTCAACTTATATTAATGCCGCCTCAAAACACATACAGGGGACAATACAATACTCATTTTCACCTGAGCGAAGTGAGGAAAGTCGTGTAAAGTGCCTTTCCAAAGGGTACAAGATCGGTGGCATGTCAGGACTCGAACCCGGGACCTCTTGATTCCGAGTCGAGAACTCTGCCCCTACGCCACACGACCCCAACGAAAAGTGATATTGATAATGGTACCAAAGGAGTGCGATGAAATACGATTTTATTAAAGGCTGACGGTTTTGTATCAAAGACAACAGTGCACGCTCACCGAAATGTTCTCATTTCTAGAGGCCTTGTTTTATTTCCCCCTGCTTTTTCCTATAGCCATTGCATGGGACTGGAAACTACTATCTTGCTAGTTAACACACAGTACTTTCTGAATTCGGAGTAATTCATGCCATGCCATTACATAAAACAAACAAGAAACTCTGAATCATCATGAAAATATGTTCACCGAATTAGTTATAATTTCCATGCTTCCATGCAAGATTTTCTACTAAGCTTACTACTAAGCGTCGGTTCCGTTTGGTCACAAAAGCATAAGTTCCATATTTTATAACTTGTCCATCTTGATATTTTTCTCAGTGAAAGTGAACGAAAGTGAAAGTGATCTCGAACGATTTTCGGAAGGGAAAAATGATCTCGAACCAGTTTAGCCCATTGAAGAGCTAGTCCACTGGTCGTGACAGAGAAGACAGACGCTATGTACAGTATTTACAGGTTCATTGTACCTGGGAAATTCCCCTAGCTCTTTTCGACAAGCACAGTGAACAGTGGACCACGGTTTAACGTCCCGTCCGTAGGACTGCGACCCTTAACAGTAGCGTGCATGTCAGTTTAGGTAGACAACGGATACCCCAGTGACAAACTGTCTTCCACGATTTGTGAATTTGTCTGGACACCTTTGACATTATAACCGGTGCAATAGCTCAATTGGTAGAGTGCTCGCTTTGTAACCGGGAGGTCGTGAGTTCAAACCCCGGCCGGGTCATACCAAAGACTTTTAAAATGGTACACACTTCTTTCTCTGCTTAGCACTCAGCAGATATGAGAAAGAGTGTGGGAAGGTCAAACACACAGCACTACCAGCGGACTAGCCCCCTGCTGTAGTGCATTGCACAATTGTGTGTCGCCCAAGGGCTACGAAATGGAGATGGGCACCACCCTACGCTCGGCATAAGAGCACGGGTAGACCTTCTTCCGTTGACATTGGAAATGTTCTTACAACTTTCCTGCTCACCGTATAAAAACAGGCGAGATTTGCTCCACTAAACCGGCTTCAAAGGGAGAACACACGTTTCGCATTAGCACGGTAGAGAACCCACTCCGCGCCGCGCGTGTACGAGTTGGTCTTGTTAATCCCCACTCGTGTCCACAATGCCGCTCTAACCAAACAACTCCAAATCGTTGCCTCCGTAGCAGACTTATAGAACTGGGGGTTTGGTGGTCTTCGGCTGTTTTCTGATTAGCCCAGTTCTAAAAAAAACTGGGGTAATTCAACCAGGCCGGCTATGTTGTCTATATGCAATCAGAAAATAGCACATAAAAGCTATTAAGACCCCCCAAACCCCCCAGTTTTTGGCATGCTATGGAGGCTAGCTATCCGAATTGGTGGAAAAACAGGTTTGGTGAGAACAACAGAAAAACATGTGAACAACAAATAGGGTTTATCTGTGAGGTTGGTGTCAGTGCCCGCTTAAGCCGCGAGGTGTTACTATATTGTCCTGAAAACCGGTCGGTACTGGTACACATGAAAACAGAAGAAAAGCCTTGGTATATGTATAGCGTGATTAACAAAAGGTCAAAGAGCTAAGTCATGTATCCATATTTGTAGTGTTCATTGAGAAACAAAGTTACTGTCACAAGAAAAAAAAAGACGGCCAAAATAAGAGAAGGTTAAGAAAAAGTCGTACCGGCAGTTGGACATCGCGTGTGCGCCCTCGCACTGCCACGGTACGGTCAGACCGTGTTGACACCGTCACACAACACAACAAAGGAGGAAACACAGAACAGAGAAGGTACTGTACAGGTCCAAAAATACCCACCTTAGTTCGTCAGCACCACTCGCAATCTGTACCGCGGTGACGAACATCAGATACCCCAGGCTGGCCGACATTGTGGAGCGCTGAGGCGGATGCACCATTTTTAGCACAACTCCCGGGCCAAGTCGTCCGGTCCTGCGCGAGTGAGTCTCCCGGACGCGGCCTTCAGTGCAGCGCGCGCGTGTGTGTGTGTACAGTACTGTACAACAAGGACCTGTTGGTGGGCTCTGGTTCTCGTCCTTTCACGTCGTGGCCGTGCAATATCTGGGCGGTGCCTTGTGGCGTGCGATGGACGTGAAGTGGTCGGGAAAATGTGGCTTCACATGCCGGAGATAAGATAGCTGGGGCGCCGCAGGCCGTGAGAGCAGGACGAACCGAGAGTCACCCCTGAGCGGCGGAAGCGCACAGTAGTAACACCCCCCTTCTGTTCACTCGACCTGTGTGTGCTGAAGTCACCGGGTTCGGCCGGGCTGTGGAGCCGCGTGGCTCTCATGGTGACATTCCGGGACTCGCCACGCTCTAGGCGAGGGAGACCAGCGCGATGGGGGACCGAAAATCAAATCCAGGTTCGGTCGGTAACTGCCTCTCTCTCCTCTCAGTCGGGGATTTCTCCGTATCTCCGAGCTAGTAGCGACCCGCCGCTGCGTGGCCGGGTCTCGGGGTGCGAGGCTAATTACACACGGTAGCGGGGGGTTCCAGGCTAACGTGCAGATGGTCCGCGGAAATAATGTCGCACGACTGGAGGCATGTGGCCGCAGCCAGACAGGCGACAGGTGCCTGTTCTAATTTCCTCATCCACTCGTCCCAGAAGTGACTCTTGAAAAGACGCCGTGGATGTCTTCACCCCAAATCTGCGCTAACAAGAGCGCAGAAGAGGCCCGGCTTAACTTATCGCCTGAACCTTCCGATTGGGGAGAAGGAGACCGTGCCAGGCCTACTCTTTCCAACAATATTTGCGCGGGGAAAAAAACACGCACAAACACAAACAAACACCGTTTCCGGCGGGATTCCGGGGGTGCACTTGTTGTCCCGAGGATGTCGTCACGGCGGGCGTGGCGGGGACGAACCGCAGGACAGCCGGCCGCATACGCGCGGTATCACCCGGGCTATCTGTGTGTTTGTACCGGGCAGCTTGCCGCGGTTTGGCCGGCAGCCAGAGGGCTGCAGCTGCGGCAGGTTGGATGAACCCAGCGGAACATACACCACAGGGAGAAGTTAACTAGGGATGGGGACAAACACTTTTCAAACTCTAATATTACTATGCAATGTCAAGGTTGTAATGGCTTAATCAGAAAGTCCTAACAGATAAAAGGCAGTCTCAGTCTAAGTGTTTTAGGCGTACTCCTTCCAACAGTTATTGGCATCAAGTAATGTACTGCAATCTTAGGGCAGCAAAATATTATTTTTTTTTAATGAGGAAATCTGTCGGACATTTCCTGCCATTTCTTAGCATTAAGTTTCGTCATCATTTCAGACTTAATGTGTTTAAAATAGCACAGGAACAAGCTACGTGAGGCGTCCCTTTCTCTTTTTTTTTCGGTACAGCCTTTAAATAGCTAGAACCACCAGCCTACATGTATATGAACGATACAAACGTTTACTACCAGTAGCATCGCATTTTTACGTCACATATATCAGTACGCACACTGTACTAGCTATGTGATAGGGTTGATTCAACTTACTACATCGAAAGAATGATCAGAAATTTGACATTGAAAATCCAGTGTTGCGACCCCGAACATGCATTGGATGCCTTTAAAACGGGGAGCAACTAGAAAGAGGTAGTAATTTCTTCTTTGCTTGGATAGCAGGACACAAAGTACAACATATTTCCTCCATAGATAGAGTCATTCCTAACACGATTCGTACCGGAAATGCGTCATCAGACATCCGGTTTCAGGTTGTTTTATCAGCCTTTGCCAAACTGATATTTCATCGGATGCCTTTAATAGCTAGATACAAGTACAAGGAAACACACAGAAAAATGCAAACAGCGCCCACTCACAAAAACATGCTCAAGGAAACAAAGACACACGCACGCACACACACACAAATTTTAAATTAGCCATTTTTCATAAGACAGTCTGTCTTATGAAAAATGGCTAATTTAAAATTTGTGTGTGTGTGCGTGCGTGTGTCTTTGTTTCCTTGAGCATGTTTTTGTGAGTGGGCGCTGTTTGCATTTTTCTGTGTGTTTCCTTGTACTTGTATCTAGCTATTAAAGGCATCCGATGAAATATCAGTTTGGCAAAGGCTGATAAAACAACCTGAAACCGGATGTCTGATGACGCATTTCCGGTACGAATCGTGTTAGGAATGACTCTATCTATGGAGGAAATATGTTGTACTTTGTGTCCTGCTATCCAAGCAAAGAAGAAATTACTACCTCTTTCTAGTTGCTCCCCGTTTTAAAGGCATCCAATGCATGTTCGGGGTCGCAACACTGGATTTTCAATGTCAAATTTCTGATCATTCTTTCGATGTAGTAAGTTGAATCAACCCTATCACATAGCTAGTACAGTGTGCGTACTGATATATGTGACGTAAAAATGCGATATATATATATATATATATATATATATATATATATATATATATATATATAC